ACCCCCTGGAGCGCGCCAAGAGGGCCAAAAGAGGCCCCCAAGACGGTCCAAGAGGGCTCCGAATCACCGAACGATCGGCCCAAGACGCCCAACACGGCGTCAAGACGGCCCAAGAGGCCTCCAAGACGTCCCAAGAGAGCCCCGACCCTTCCCAAGAGAGCCCCAAGAGGCAAACATATATGATTTTCTCTTGGTTTTTGGAGGTTTTTGGCTTCCTCGCCATTTCGCCTTTCCGACGCTCCAAGACGGCCCAAGAGGCCCCCCAAGACCACCCCAAGACGGCCCAAGAGGCCCCCAAGAGAGCCCCAAGACCGCCCAAGAGGGCCCCAAGACAGCCTAGAAGGCGCCCAAGAGGGCCCCAAGAGGGGCCCAAGATGGAGACCACGAACCGAAAATCCGAGCCTTCCGCTCCAAGAGGCCCCCAGGACGCCCCAAGAGGCCCCCAAGAGGCCCCAAGAGGCCCCAAGAGGCGCCAAGAGGCCCGAAAGAGACCCCAAAACGCTCCAAAACGGAGCCCAAAGAGGCAAAACTCAATGATGTCCGTTCGGTTTCTGAACATTTTTGGCTTCCTCGCCGTTTCGCGTTTCCGACACTCCAAGACGGCCCAAGAGGCCCCCAAGAAACCCCCAAGACCACCCCAAGACGGCCCAAGAGGCCCCCAAGAGAGCCCCAAGACCGCCCAAGAGGGCCCCAAGACAGCCTAGAAGGCGCCCAAGAGGGCCCCAAGAGGGGCCCAAGATGGAGACCACGAACCGAAAATCCGAGCCTTCCGCTCCAAGAGGCCCCCAGGACGCCCCAAGAGGCCCCCAAGAGGCCCCAAGAGGCCCCAAGAGGCGCCAAGAGGCCCGAAAGAGACCCCAAAACGCTCCAAAACGGAGCCCAAAGAGGCAAAACTCAATGATTCCGTTCGGTTTCTGAAGGTTTTTGGCTTCCTCGCCTTTTCGCGTTTCCGACACTCCAAGACGGCCCAAGAGGCCCCCCCCCAAGACCACCCCAAGACGGCCCAAGAGGCCCCCAAGAGAGCCCCAAGACCGCCCAAGAGGGCCCCAAGACAGCCTAAAGGCGCCCAAGAGGGCCCCAAGAGGGCCCAAGATGGAGACCACGAACCGAAAATCCGAGCCTTCCGCTCCAAGAGGCCTCCAGGACGCCCCAAGAGGCCCCCAAGAGGCCCCAAGAGGCGCCAAGAGGCCCGAAAGAGACCCCAAAACGCTCCAAAAACGGAGCCCAAAAATACAACAATCAGTGATTCTCCTAGGTTTTTGAAGTGTTTGGCTTCCTCGCCTTTTCGCGTTTCCGACACTCCAAGGCGGCCCAAGAGGCCCCCAAGACGACCCCAAGACGGCCCAAGAGGCCCCCAAGAGAGCCCTTAGACCGCCCAAGAGGGCCCCAAGACAGCCTAAAAGGCGCCCAAGAGGGCCCCAAGAGGGGCCCAAGATGGAGACCACGAACCGAAAATCCGAGCCTGCCGCTCCAAGAGGCCTCCAGGACCCCCCAAGAGGCCCCCAAGAGGCCCCAAGAGGCGCCAAGAGGCCCGAAAGAGACCCCAAAAGGCTCCAAAACGGAGCCCCAAGAGGCAAAACTCAATGATTTCCATTGGGCTTCTGAAGGTTTTTGGCGTCCTTTCCGCGTTTCCGACGCCCAAGACGGCCCAAGAGGCCCCCAAGAAACCCCCAAGACCACCCCAAGACGGCCCAAGAGGCCCCCAAGAGAGCCCCAAGAGAGCTTCAAGACAGCCCAAAAGGCGCCCAAGACGGCCCAAGAGGGCCCCAAAAGGAGCCCAAGATGGAGACCACGAACCGAAAATCCGAGCCTTCCGCTCCAAGAGGCCTCCAGGACGCCCCAAGAGGCCCCCAAGAGGCCCCAAGAGCCGCCACTCTCTCTCTCTCTCTTTCTCTCTTTTCCCTCTCACGTCGAGGGGCATACCTGTCGCAACAGTTACACTGTGTTCATGGCCCCCGCATGAACGTCCACGAGCAACGAGCCCCCACAAAGGCGCCAGGGACACCCCAGAGCGGCACAACCCAGAAGCCCCGTGGAAACAACGATTCTCCCGACACCTCCTCACAAGGTCGACGCGAAGCTGTTTCGCGGGGGCAGCTTCAACACCACCATCCCGAACGCAACGCCTCAGACAAAAAAAAATGCGCCGACCCCTGCAGCTCCGCACTGCCGACGACCTCTCGCCCAATCGACCGCGGTGCCTCATCATGGGCCGGCGGAATGAGCGAAGCGATTACGTAAATAAAGTGGTCGGAGCTCTAGACACCCTGTGCAAGATAATGGACTTCCCCACCGTCGGGGACACCTGTCCAATGGCGGCTGGAAGGTTTCTGCCCCGACGTGCCTCCGCAAGCTCGAAAACGTTCCAGCCGCACCAGGACCGACGTCCCCGATGGCGGAACATATTATGTTAGAGGGCGGCCATCTGAGAAGCCTTGCACGAAGCAGAAGAGCCTTTCTGGTAACCCCCCTGCCGTCTCGGAGGGCCGCCCCTTGGCTTGGCCCTGCCTTATTTTGCGTGCCGCCAACGAGTTCCGCAGAGGCCTCCAGGATGACCAAGGGTCAGCAGTCTCAAATCCTCGATCCTCGATCCTCGATCCCCTTACGCGCAGCGGCGAACATCAGCGGGTAACGAAGGGTACAAGATGAGCAGCCGCGCCATCGTGGACGCCGGTCCCAGGGCGGCTTGACAATAAAATCCCCCACGGTGGCGCGTAGTAAGCTGTCCAGCCTCTCTGGGTCAGACGTCCCTGATGGCGGAACAATTTCTTTTTCTAAGCAACCACGTGTGAATCTTACCCCTGCAGACGGGATTTCTGAAACGCCAGTCGGGGTTAGGAATTCAAAGGATATCTGCAGCCGAAGGAAGAACACCAGTGGGGTGTCCAATGTCCCAGCGCCGAGCGGATCTGCAAGGGTAGGGCTCACCAGTGGTCGCAAATTCACACGTATGTCTTCGGGGCCCCAAATCGTGTGGTGACGGACCGCGCTGTGACCTTGGAATCCAAACGACCTCACCGCGCGGTCCGTCTCCGCACGGTTTTGGGATCTCGCAGACCCCAGTCCCCGAGACGTCCTCGGAATACGACCCGAAACGACCCGAGTCCCAGAATTGCGCGGCGACCCAAAATCCCAACTGGCTCACCACACGATGTGGTCACCGCACCGTGTGGGGGTCCCCCATGGTTGTCCGCTACATGATCGACCCACGAACCGGAAAAGAACATAGAAATGGAAGGCATGGCAACGCTTCAAAGACACCTGATTAGGCGACGGTCAAATGCAATGCTGAATGTATCGATGTTGAAGTCCCGTGTGGAGAGCTGTGCTGTGCTGCGTCGTGCTGAACTGCGATGTGCCATGCCGCGGTTGTGCTCTATAGCGTTGTGGATCGAGTCCTCCTTTGCATCCGAGTCCTGACCGAACTGATCTGGATCTTAAGCTCGAGCTGCCTGAGCACATAGTAGCTGCCTCAGAGCTATTTGACAGGGGGACATGCCAGGAGGACGCGCCGCGGAACGTCCCAAGGGACGCGCCAAACGACGTGCCAGGGTGGCCTGGACACGTAAAAACACGTGGCGGGACAATCATGTTAGAGATCTCCCTGCGTGACCTGAGCATGAACAAACACGTCGTTACAGCTCGGGGCAACCATGTTAGATACCCCCCTGCGTGACCTGGATATGCTGAATTCGCGCTCCCGCTCGAGACATCCTCGCAGTGTCTTCCCTAGAGAAGCTTCCAAAACGCAACCCCCTGTTCAGAGCAAGAAAACGACACTTCTCTGGATTGGGACATGTGTTCGGGTAGCGTTTGTCGGCCCTCCGTGCGTTTCCTCATAATTCGGCGTTGGGCCCGACGCCATGCTACCCCCCTGGGCGGCCTGGACACGTAAAAACGTGGGTGCCAGCTCTGGGCAACCGTGTTAGATACACCCCTGGGTGGCCTGGAAACAGTAAAACACGTGGTCCCTGCTCGGGACTATCATGTTGGATACCCCCCTGCGTGGCCTGAGCATCAAAAAGCACGTGGTTCCAGCTCGGGACAACCATGTTAGATGCCCCGCTGCATGGCCTGGATACGCTGAATTCGCGCTCCCGCTCGAGACATCCTCGCATTGTCCAGAGCAAGAAAGCATCACTGGGACATGTGTTCGGGTAGCGCTTTTCGCCCCCCCGTGCGTTTTCTGATAATTCGGCGTTGGGCCCGACGCCATGTTGGATATCCCCACTGGTCGGCCTGGACACATAAAAACACGTGGTTCCAGTTCGGGACAATAGTTAGGTACCTCCCTGGGTGGCCTGGACACACGACCACCATGTTAGATACCCCCCTAGGTGTCCTGGACACTTGAAAACACACGGTTCCAGCGCAGGACCACCATGTTAGATACCCCTCCTGGGAGGCCTGAACATGTAGAAGCACGTGGTTCCAGCTCGGGACCACCATGTTAGATACACCCCTGGGTGGGCTGGACACGTGAAAACACATGATTCCAGCTCGGGACCACCATGTTAGATACCCCCTGATGGCCTGCACACGTAAAAACTCATGGTTCCAGCCCACCCAGGAAGGATATCCAACATGCGGTCGTCTGAGGCGCCAGCGACAGACAACCATGCTGGATACCCCACTGGCCGACATGGGCACGTGAAAATAAGCATTTCGCCCGAGACATCCTCTGAATTCTGGCCCCCCACGAGGCACCCGCTCGAGACATCCCCTAACTCTGCAAAACCAGTGTTTCGCTCGAGGCATCCTCAACCAATTATGAAACAACAAGCGTTTCGCTCGAGACATCCTCAAATTTCAATCCGCCGGCCCACCTCGACCTCGATAATTATCAAGGAAAGAATCCGCCGGCATACCTCGGTCATGGCACCGGGGACAGCTTACAAAACTAGCAGAGAACCCTGGGCCCGCGCCCTTTCTGCGAAAACTTGTCATCGCTGGCGCAAAAAACGGCTGGCGCCCTCCCAGCATGTGGCGCCCCGCGCCGCCTGGGTTCTGGCGCTCCTCCCACTCCGCCGCACGGGCCTGCAGCTCTGTGACCATCATGGCTCGGGCGCTGCCCAAGGCGTCGCTGGCTCCAGGTGTCCCCAGGACTCTAGGGACGCAGATCACCCCAAGGCAGATGACTCTTGGCTATTTTAAGCCTGTGGGGGCCCTTGCCGGGCTCCTGAGCTGTCAATGGACGGTTCGGGATGAACGACGGGTCCTCGGGAGCGTGCCGACACGTACGTGGCAGAACAAAATGCGGCGATGGAGTCCCGGGGAGGCCCTCGAGGCCACTAGAGGCGAGAGTCCCGAACATGTCCATGTCCACCACCTGCCGATGCCCCAGGAGACCGATTCCCCAAGCGATGGTTACGGATAAACTTGAAATCCCCGCCTCGGACTAGAGCGAGCACCGCTCACGAGGCCCAGAGGGCCCTGCCGGGGCCCTGGAAGCGGCGCGTAATTACAGCAGGGGTGGATCAAATCCTCTTTAGCAAATCATCCTTTGAAATGAACAAGACCCAGGATCAGCCAAAGCGGGCGCAGGCGCGCAGAATAGGGCGGCCGCAAAACCCTTTCGAGAACCGAAACAGGATAATTCGCTCATCGACTTGGCAGGGTGGGGGTTCTCTCAACCTCTGGGCGTAGAACTGATGGATGCTGAGGGGTAACGATAGGGGGGGCCGGCTCAGGGGGGAAGCATCGACCTGGAATCGGCGATACGTCGCCGATAGATCGGCGACAGGCCAGCCGATTGTGAAACCGCACGCTCCTGGGCGGGGTGGGGTTATCGAGCCCCTATCGCCGATCAACGGGCGATGGTGAGTCGATGCGTGCCAGGCTGGACCAGTGGACCAAGTCCAACACAATGATCCTCGTCGTCTGGCTATCATGTCATAGCTTGTGCCGTTCGGGACGATCCGGGCCCCCCCTGACACGCTTCCGGCGAGGCGCAGCTGCTGGAGAGAATCCCGAGGCCGGAAAGCCGCCGAGAACCGACAAAAAGAAGAAAACCTCGGACCCCCCAACGCTGCCCCTGAAGAGATTTGGGGGCCCCTGGCAGCGTGCAACAGAGGGTGGAGGGAGGGGGGAGGGCACCTTAGAATGAGGCTGCGTCTTGGAAGCCTCCAGCCGTACATACATATATATATATATATATATACATCTATATATATATGTATACAAATAAATAATTATATAGAGAGATATCTACAGATGTAAATATGGATGGATGGATTGCACCCGTGCCTTCTGAGAAGGGAAGTGCTTCTGCGAAGCCCTGCCCCTCCCGCGGCTGAGATCCCAGAGCACCCCTTCGGCAACCCCCGAGAGATGGCGAAGGTCTCCGGCACGGGCGGCAGCGGAGCGCCGGCCCGGGTGGCGAAGTCAACGAGGTACGACGCCGTCAGCACCCGCCGCTCGAGCCCCTCCGCGCCGCCGCGCCGCGCCCGCTGCGACTCGTCGTTCCACGCCTGTAGAGGGAGAAGGGACGGTTCAAGGCATGCAGCTACCAGTAGGGGCGCTGACGAAAGAACGAAGGGGCCTTCCTGGCCACGGCGCTCCGCGCCGAACGGCCCGAACACCAGAGCCCCTCCCGCGCTCAAAGGGGTCCTGAATTCCGTGCGTCGACCAGAGGTTTGAGCACAAAACTGTCGGAAGCTCTGCGCGCACTTCTGGGATGGGCGCTGGACCCGCCTCCCTAGCGCGCAGGGCCCAGCTTGGCAGGCCGCCTGGCGCAGCCGAGCAACAGCTGCGCGGGCCTCCGAAAGTGGATCGGAGGAGGACGAGTTGAAACAAGTGCAGCTCGAACTCCACCCCCGACCCATCCCGGGGTCCAAACGCAAAGTTTCCCGAGCTGCCAGCTGTCGTTGCCCCAACTGGCCATCCTCTGAATGTAAGTTTGTGCTGCGAGCTCCGCGCCCGCTGCGCGATCGCGTCCATCGGGGCCGAAGTGTCCTCGTAGGAGCAGTCGCCCTCGGCCACGCTGGCGGGCGGCGGGTCCGGGGGCCACATGCAGAGGTTTTGGGCCGTGGCCACGACGCCTCTCCGGACGCTCTCCGACATCACCATGCGCGAGGCCTTCTCCAGCTCCTCCATCAGCCCCTCCTCCCGAGCGTCAATTACTCGACGCGGAGATCCCCATATGTGAGATAATGTATTTCGCGTGTGAGACAACGTGTGTCGTGGACGCGTACCTCGAACAAAAACACCTTTACCCGCTGGAGGCGGGCGGGGTGAGCCCAAAACATTCAGCGCCCTTGCAGAACTGCCCCCCCCTCCGCGAACTCCGGCCTCTCTGACCGCCCCCTCGCCCACACCCTCCAAGGAGGGGGGGTGGAACCAGGGAGGGGCGGGGGCGGCGGGGGCCTGTCCAGCGGGGGGGGGGATTCGAAGCGGCCCCCCAACTGAATTTCAAGGGGGGGGCTCGAACCGGGGAAGGGGGAGGGCGGCCGTCAAGGGCGGGGGGGGGGCTCGACCCTGGCCACCCCCCTGAGGTGCAGAGGGGAAGGTCGAACTAGCCACCCGCGTCTTGCCAGGGGTGGCGGGTTGGAAACGCCCCCCCCCCCCCCCGATGGTTCGCACCAGATGGGGGGACGTTCGAGGGACATTCAATGCATGGTGTTCGCTTGCTCCCTCGCTCGCTCGGGCAAACGAGCGAGCGCGCGAGCGAGGGGGGCGTGTCGGGTCGGACAGGCGGGACGTCAAATGGATGGTGGTCGGGTGCCCGCTCGGTCACTCGCACGCTCGATCGAGCGAGCGAGTGAAAAGATGCGAGTCGGGTCGGGCGGGCGGTACATTAAATGCACGGTCCTCGCATGCTCGCTCGCTCGCAAGCTCCGACAGGGAGAGAGAAAGAGCGAGGGAGCGAGGGAAAGGATCGATCGTCGTCGCCGTCGGCGTCGTCGGCTTCGTCGTGGTCGGCTTCGTCGTCGTCGCCGGCGTCGGCGTCGTCGTCGACGTCGTCGTCGTCGTCGTCGCCGGCACCGTCGTCGTCGTCTGCGTCGTCACCGTTGTCGTCAAACGTCGTCGTCGTCGTCGTCGTCGTTGTCGTCGTCGTCGTCGTCGTCGCTGACCGACGGCGCTGGCGCCAACGCCAGCGCCGGCGCTCGCCGTCGTCGGCTGCTGCAGGGGGGGTAAAATCGAGCCCCCCCCTTCAATTCAGCGGGAGGGGGCCTTCCCTGGCTCGATTCCCTCCACCCGCGAGACAGGGCCCCACCCCTCCATCGTTTCGAACCCCCGGAGGGGGGAGGCCGGTGTTAATCCCCCCCTTGCACCACGGTGGAAGGAGCACGTTCGAACCTCACCCCATCTTTCCCTTTAAAAGTTAAGGAGGGATGCGGGTTCGATCCCCCCCCCACCTGAGGGGGGGCGCTGGTTTCTTCTTCGACTCCTCGCCCAACTTTAGCCGCTCAGTGAACTCCAGCACCGTCGGGGCGGCCCTTCGCTTTGCCGCGAGCAGCTCCGCCCGCTGCGACTGGGGCTCCCCAGACCCCGTGCTCAGGTCCGCGGAGAGTAGGAAGGAGCTGAGGCTACACAGGGAGTCCGACTGAAAGCGGCAGCCTGTCAGCTGGGCATACTCCTGGCCAAGCGGGGGAGGGTGATGGCGGGGTTGCCATGTCAGTCAAAATCGGCGAAGCACTTAGATGCAAGACACTTGATCGCGCCAAACTAAAAACACGCCGACCGTCAAGCCAGGCAGAGTCCTTGCCCGCCGCGCGTAAGGACGCATCGGGATGGGTACCCTTGGGCCGACGAAGCCGAAGACGTGCCAAGGATGCGCACCACCGACGGATGCAAGGTATCCTTGCGACGAGAGCTCATCATTGACAGCAGGTTCAGACTGAAATAAACCGAATGCGTCTGCGCGTCGCGACCAGGGCCTGGCAGGGTGGTTGACCACGGACGCACTCTGTGGACTCTCAAGCATCGCAAGTGCACCTGGACAAAGAGATCCCGAAAAAGTACCGTCCAAACGATCCACGACGTGCTTGATCTGGGGGCCCACGATCGCGATCGCACCCAATCGTCGGCGTCGGTACAGTCGCTATCATTTTCTAGAGCGCTCCTCGGACACCACAGAGAAGCCGTACCGAATCCTCGAACGTCGACTCGACACTTCTACCAATCAGTGTGCATCGACTTCGTTGCATTATCGATATCTCGCTCTAGCCTGTGCACCCCTCGGCTGATCGTGCCCGCGAATATCCGCGGCTCCACGAACACATTTGCCGTCACTTCTAGCCCCACAAACAAGATCGGACATGGGATCGTGACCGATCAGCCATCGATCTGGACTGGTAGTCGATTGCTCACAGTCACTACACTAAATTTCGAATGAGATCATGTCAACTCCGACTGCGATCAGGTTATACCAGCAGCAAGTTAACGTCGAACAAACTATTGAGACCCCGCCCTTCCGTAGACATTGTGCAGGTAAAACTCTGTACGCCCACCAGAACTACACCTTGCAACTCAGAACTAGGCTAGACCATTTGTTTCACGTCGATCTGTATCATCAAAATGTTCTTCGCTGCAGCGCCACTCTGCATCATGCATATTCTCAATGATTGGTATGGCATCAACTGCGTGTCTTGCAACATTGAAACTTCTGAGAAGCCACGGCGGTGAGCTCCGCCGCCGGGCATCGCGAGTGGAGGCTCGCTCACGAGAGCACCTCCGGCAAGAACTTACGTGCCACTTATTTGCCCGGCCCCCGGGCCCCCCTCGGCGGAAAGGCGGGGCCCGGGCCCCCCTCGGCGGCTGCGCGAGCAGGCCCAAAGGCCTTCAGAGGCCTAAAGGCCACCGGGACCCCGAAAGGCCTTCAGAGGCCGGGACTCCTGGCAGGGCGGGACCCCCCAAGGCCTTCAGAGGGATTCCGAAGAGTTTCCCGGATGCCCCATGGAGACCTCGGTAGGCCATGCACGAATCAAAAGATGGTCTCAAGGTCTTGATCCTCGAACCTGACCACCCCCGACAACTTTGGGGAGAGAACCAGATACCGATACCGCTACGTACTCCCAAGACCTCTCTGGGGTGCACTCTGACATCGGATTTCGAGGCGGATCCAGCTGTGGCGACGATCGGCTGTTAATAAATGAAAAGGCGAAGTGTCGAAAGCAGAATCGTGCACCTTTCATGCCCCTTTGGGGCCCAAGGGGGCCCCTTCAAGGCTCGTTCGTTTAGGGCACAAAAAGGTGCACCTTTCGTCACCCTGCCATTCATCGCCCCACCAAAACTCGAGGCCTGCGAACAAAGAATCCGTATGCACGTCCTCACGGTGTGGATTCCCGGGCGCGATCCCGCGGTTGCGGTCGCACGACTACCCTCTGGGCGGGGCATCCGCGAGAAAACGGCCCGTATCCGCGAAGTCGCAATCCAAGGGCCCGACCCGTGAGGCCGCGGATACGGAAATGGCTTGCGCCCGTGAAATGAACCGCCAAAGGTCTCGACCGCTCCCCAGGGACCGGTCTTTCATTGTGAGTTATGAGCTGATCCTAGTTTTCTGTCGTGGACGCGGCAAGTCATTCTTCAGAAATCGTCAATCGCATCTGCTCTGACGACACGAGGGTAGGGACAAATTAAGCGGCCGTTCGGGACGATGATCGGGCACCCCTGGACTAATCCCGGAGCAAAGGCCACGCTAGTAGCAGTGTTGGTTACCGGCGGAGTTGGGAATCGGGTCTTTGCGGGGCCGAACTCGCGCAGAACGAATGGTAGAAAATCGTGGACCACACGGTCCTACATTTCAAACACGCGAAAACACCGAGATAAGACGGCACGGATAAGCTGGTGGAAACCGCGAACCACGCTTTCCTGCAATCGGTTCGGCCACGAACCATCCTTACAATACCGAAGCATACATCCCCGTTTCCCACATCGCCGTGAGCGTCTCTACTGTGGAGATGCGCATCTGCTGGAATGCATCCGATGCAAGAAATCCTTCAGGGACCGACGAAAACGTCAGAGCAAACCCTGGCCCTGGCCCTTCCGAGACCACAGTTGACCTTACCCCGACCTGCAGCCAACCCTCACCACAAAGCATTCCGAGGCGAACCTCCCCCACAAACCTACGAACACTTCCCCAGACATCCGCCGAGATGATATTTTGACTGCGCGGCCCAAAAGCCGCGTCCTGTCCCGGAGGTAGTTATTTGCCCCCGAGCTGATTTTGATGGCCCTGGGGCCCAATGAGATGGCCCCGCGGGCACAAATTGATGCTAAAATCGCGAATTGAAACGCAAACCATATCGGCGTGTCTGGGGAGACTGGAAAGCTACGAACCACCCGACCGCGGCCCGGCACGCGGGTCTCCTGGGTGCTGGCCAGCAAGGGCGCGAAGCGCGGGAAGGCCCGCAGATCGAGGCAGCCTGGCTCCGCCGCCTCGTCGCGCACCTCCGCGACGTCGGCGGCGGCCGGCGCAGCCTGCCCCGCGGCGGTTGGCGCGGCCTCCTCCGCGGCGACCGGGGAGGCCATTTCCGGGGCGGCCACCTCCTGAGCGGCGGCGGCCGCAGCGGCCGCCTCTGGGGCGGCCCGCCCTGCGGCGGCCAGCGCAGCATCCTTCTCCTCCTCCTCCTCTGAGGCGACGGCCGCCTCGGCGGCGGCTGGGGCGGCGGCGGCGGCGAGCCCCACGGCGGCCGCGGCCGCCTCGGCGTGCCCCTCCGGGGCAGCGGAGGACCGCACCAGGCCGCTGGGCTCCATCGCCAAGGGTCGAGAAGGAGATTGATTGCAGAATTGATTTGATCCTCTAGTGTGTTTGTGTGTATGTGCGTGTGTGCGTGCGTATGTGCTTGCAAGTGTTTGCAAGTGTGTGTAAGTGTGTAAGTGTGTGTCAGTGAGCGTGTATGAGTGTAAGTGTGTACACATGTGCAAATGTGTGTAAGTTGATGTGTGCAAGTGCGAGAGAGCGTGATCCACCGCTGCTTTACTGCGGAAAATTGCCGACCTTTTCCTCCGGAACCCGGGGGTCGCCCCCCCCCCCCTCCGAAAATCCCCCCCCCCTGCTGGAACCCCTCCCCCCCCCCCACCCCTTCCCCCGGCAAAACCCCCCCCCTCCCCTAACCCCCCCCCCCTCCCCCCCCGCCTCCCCCTCGAAAACCGGGGGGGTCACTACCGAACCCGAAAAACCGGAACCCCCCCCCCCTCGAAAACCGGAGGGGGATCACTACCGGTTCGAACCCCTCCCCACCCCCCCCACTCACCGCCAGCAAACGACTCCCGGTCCCTACCACCGTCCGCATCACATCCCCCACTGTTGTTCCCAGCACCACTGTCCTCACCACCACTGTCCCCACTGTGTCCCCACCAGTGCCCCCACCACTGTCGCACTGTCCCCACTGTCCCCACCACTGTTCCCACCACGGTTCCACTCTCCCCACTGTCTCCACGGCCCCAACCACTGCCCGACTATCCCCACTGTCCCCACTGTCCCACTGACTCCGCCGCTGTCCCACTGAGCTGTCCCACTGTTCCCACCACTGTCCCCACTGTCCCCACCACTGTCCCCACTGTACCTCTGTCCCATTGTCCCACCGCCGTCCTCGCCACCGCCTTCACCACTGTCCCCACCACCATTGTACCCTCCACTGTCCCACTGTTTCCACCTCATTCCCACTGTGCCCACACCACTGTCCCCACCACCACCGTCCCCACCACTGTCCACTGTCCCCCCTGTTCCCACCATTGTCCCCACCACTGTCCCCACCACTACCGTCCCCACCACTGTCCCACTGTCCCACTGTCCCCACCACTGTCCCGCTGTCCCCTCACCACTGTCCCCACCAACACCGTCCCCACCACTGTCCGCACCGCCACTCGGTTTTCGAGGGGGGGGGGGTTCGAACCGGTAGTGACCCCCCCCCTTTCATGATGAACTGGGGGGGGGGGAGGGGTTCGAACCTGTAGTGACCCCCCCCGGTTTTCCGGAGGGGGGGGGGGGTTCGAACCGGTAGTGACCCCCCCCGGTTTTCCGCCAGCAGCGGTAGAACACGCTCTTTCGTAAGTGCATAAGTGTGTGTGTGTGTGTGTATAAGAGTATAAGAGTGTAAGCGTGTGCTGATGTGTGTAAGTGTAAGTGTACATGCACATGAAAATGTAAATGGAAATGTGGGTGTAAGTGTAGGTGTAAGTGTACGTGTGAGCGTGTGCAAGACTGTGTGCGTGCGTGTGCAATTCCGTGTGTGTATAAGTGTGTGCTCGCGTGTGTGTCAGTGTGTGCGTGTGTGTGTGTGTGTGTGTGTGTGTGTGTGTGTGTATGTGTGTGTGTGTGTGTGCGTGCGCATGTGTGTCTGTGTGCTAGGTCAAATCTAGAACAGATGCGAATCGTCTTCGTAGTCGCAGATTCGACAACCATTCTACGTATGTCTCGCAACTTCGACGGAAATTCTAAGATTGGGGTGAAATCAGCTCTGCCACTGATCTCATACTCGACAAGGTGGCCGCGCCGCGGGCCACGGAGGCTGCGGGAGGTTGGCGCTGCGAGGAGATGCGTCAGGACGACCCCCAAACCTCCGAGGAGACGACTTGTGCACCATCGGCGCGCATTTCCGGGCCCTCGGAACTGGGTCCGGGCTGAAGAGATGGCCCCCGGGCAGGGTGCGGGACCTGCGCTCTGGGCCCCGATCTCGGGCCCCGCGGGGGCCGTTGCCCGGCCCCGGGCCGGAAGATCGCCCCCGGGGAAGCGGTTGGGACCTCAGGGCCGCGGAAGGGAAAATTCAGATCGGCGAAAACCAGAGGGGCCCAGGCGGCCAGGAGGTGCGCCAGGAGGCCACCTGCCAGCCCTCGGGGCTTCCTCCCGCGGGGCCTGCTCCTCCTGCGGTGGCCGCGCGTGTCGCCTATAGAAGAAGATCCGTTCCCAGCAGGTAAACCCAATTTCCCGGTGACTCGCGGTGAAGATCGTGGAGTTTTCGGAACTTTATTACCATTTGTTCCAACCATCCTGTGGTGTTGGGTCCTCGTTTTGAAAAGACAGCGACCCGCGTTCTCCTCTCCTCTCCTCTCCCCCTCCCTCTTCCCATGCCTGTCTCTGCCATCTGCCCTCCGCACGTTCCTATCGTCCAATATCGCCGTCACCATCACCACCATCGTCACGTGGCTCCACGGGAAGCTGTATCGAAGGCCCCACTGCCAGGGTTCGCGTCACAGCGCAGCCTCCATTTCGGCCAACCCTCACAAACTTCGTGGCCCCATGTGAACTCCATCGAAAGGCCTGGCGGCACACCCCTCACACGGTTCGTGACACCATACGGAACTCCACCGAACGCCCTGTGGAAGGGTTAACATGCGTTCCCGCGTCAGTGCGCCCATCACAAGGTGGCCCCGTAGAGAGCTCCACCGGGAGACATCCCCGCGACCTATTTCGACACCCCCCTCATACGGTTCGTGGCCACATAGGGAGCTCCACCGAAGGCCCCAGCGGCAAAACTGACATGCGTCCCCGCGACTCTTTTTCGGCACACGTGCCACACGGTTCGCGGACCCATGGGGGGTTCCAACTAATGCCCCTGTGGCACAATTTACATGCGTTCCAACGACACACGGTTCGTGGCCCAATAGGTAACTCCACCGAAAGCCCCAATCGCAAGGTACACGCGCGTCCCCGCGACCTATTTCGGCACACCCCTCACACGGTTCATGGTTCTCACAGGGAACTCCACCGAAGGCGTCGGCGGCAGGCTTTACGTGCGTCCCCGCGACTCATTTCGTCATCCCCGTCACACGGAAAGTGGCCCCGTACGGATCCCCACCGGGGGCCCCAGAGGCAGACAAATTTACATGCGTCCCCGCGCGTCATATCAACACACGCTTCACACGGTTCGTGGCCCCATCGGGGGCTCCACCGAAGGGCCCACCGGGAATTCTCAGACGCGTCCCCGCGTCTGAAGTCGGCACTCCACGCACGGTTCGTGGCCCCATAAGAAGCTCCACCGAAGGTCCCACTGGCACGGTTTACGCGCGTCTCCGCGACTCATTTCGAATGAGGAGGCGGATGCGCGAGGTCGCTGGCATTCCCCGCGGCATACGGCACAAGGTTTTGGACACCGCGCCCCCCCCCTCCCCCGCCTCATCTCTCTCGCGGCGCTCGCAGCTGCATATGGTCGGGTCCTCCGCTCAGCTAGTTCAAACTCTCCTTTGCAATGTTTAACAGGCTCCTGAACAGCTTTGAAGGCGCTCCGCGACAGCTTTGCAGGCGTTCCCCAGCTGATTTTAGGGCGTTTCATAGCAGCATGCAGCGCGTCTCTTAGCAGCTTTCAAGGCGCCCCTTACCAGCTTGTAACGCGCTGGATAACAGCGTGCAAGGTGCCCCGTAACAGCGCGAACGTCATCCCTTAGTAGCTTTCCCAAGCTTTCCTTCGCCACTTGTCAGCGCGCTCCTTGGCAGCCGGTTCGGTCGCCATTTAATAGCTTGAAAGGGCGCCCCTTGGACGCTTGCAAGGCCTTCCTTAGAAGCAGTGCGAGGCGTTCCTTGGAAACCCCTAGCCCTACCAGCTTTGGAAGCTGTCCCTGGTCTTTCGTCGGGCGCGCCGTGTCCTCTCCCAAGGCGCTTCTTAGCAGCTTGTGATACAATCCTTGGCAGTTTTGAAGGCACCAGCAGCTTCCCGACGTTTCTTAGCAACTTCCCTTTCGCCGCCTAGCAGCTATTATAGTTCTCCGTCGCAACTTGGGAGGCTGTCCTTAGCAGTTTTGGAAGCGCTTCTCGCAACCATCGGCTAGGCCGTGTCTTGGCGCAGTGCTACCGACTGAATCGCGATGATCGGCATTTGGGGGACTTGCCAAGCTCATGACGCCAGTGGGTCTCTTGCTCCACCCATACTCACGAGCAAGTCTGAGGCGAGTAATATAACAAAAAATAACGGTATCCATGCAGTCTAGGCTGGATGGAAAAGGGCAGTCAGCTGGAGCTGGCATGCCATCCGCGTAGCCACGGTTGCCAATCATCTCATGTGTGTGCAGGTCTATTGCTACGCGACGCTGAATTGAGTGGGGCGGAATACCTTCCGCAGATTCCACATCCTCCAGAAATGTCTGGGCGCCTGACGTCACGCAGCACCACCGCTCGGGAACCGCAAGTTTCCTGGCGGCGACCGCGCGCATCCACTGACCCAGCACCTCTATGCCAGACAGGGTCAAGTATGGCATCTTGCCCTCAACAATCAAATCTACTCTCTGACCGGTAGGCAGCAGAAATTTGGACCGCTGGCCGGCTGGCGAAACGAAACTAAAGCCGTGATCCATGCACCGCTCTCCTACTGAGATCACTGCCAGTGTTTCCGGCATGACCAACGCTTCGAAGTTCCCACCCCTGATTTAAGGGCATGCGACGTGGAGATCCTCCGGCAACGTTCATCTTCAAGTCGTTTTATCATACCAATTGCCCCTGCAGCCCGAATAAACCTCTCAGCAATAAGGTTGTGTCCACAGCACGTACCGACTATGAACCGAAGCGCTTCGAGGTGCACAGGCACTTTCACTCTACGCCCCGCGGCGGCTGTGCCGCCCGGGACAACATTTTCCTTTCCCTCAGACTCTAACCAAACCTGCCAAACTTCATTAGTTAAACCAGATGCCCTAACCTGAGCATCTTCCAACGATGCTTTCCGCTCGGTTTGTATTCGTCGGTACTCTTGTTCTGGAAACGTCCAACTATCGTCAATACTCGAAGGCAGTTCTTTCGGGCTGTGGCGACGTCCGACGCACCTTCCTTCGAGCGACGGTGGGTTCCCGAGTCGGGGGGGGTGACGCTGGACACTGAGTCCGTGTCGAGCCGCTTGCGCGTACCTGACGCAACTTGTCTTGCGGGGTTCGTCGCAAAACAATGCGATGGCTTCCCTTGGAAGAGGATGCAGTTGAACGAGGATAGCGACAACTGTACTCAAATTCTCCTTACGTTCGTGTTCTGCCTCGGATGCGGGAACGGCTTCCTCGGAATTACCCCGCGACGTACCCAAACCTTTCTATGCATGCGGTGATTGCACTCAGGACCGCTCAATGCTGACGGGCATGCTGAAAGAAACCCCAAAAAACGCAGCGAGGAAGAAGAGCACCCACTAGTGAAATCAGAAGAGCGCAGCAAGAAAAGCAGCGGCGACGCGTTGGACGCACCTCTGCTGGGCCTCCCAAGAGCCCACGGCAAGTGGCGACAGTTTTGCAGATCGCGCCGCCCCCCAGGGCACCGCGAGGTCTCGAGGTGATCCGCGTTGGACGCACCTCCGCTGGGCCTCCCAGGAGCCCACGAAAGTGGCGACACAGTTGCGCTGGGCCTCCCAAGAGCCCGCGAAAGTGGCGGCACTGTTGCGCAGATCGCAGCCCCCCAGGGCACCGCGAGGTCTCGAGGTGATCCGCGTTGGACGCACCTCCGTCGGGGATCTTCTGACCCGGGTCAATCCAGACCCGGGTCAGCAGGAAACCAAAACTGCAATGCAGGAAAAAAAACTGCAACGCAGGTCTTCGCAAACCCGGGTCAGCCAATATGTGCGGCCGCCTCGCGGCCACGAGCGGCTCCCAAACCCGGGTCAGCCAGAGGGGGTCTTCGCAGGATCCTGCAAGATCCGGCGCCCTGGCTGACCCCCGTCTGCACTGACCCCCGTCTCGAGGCTCCCGACTCCGCTGGGCCTCCCAGGAGCCGGCGAAAGTGGCGACAGCTGCGCAGATCGCAGCCCCCCAGGGCGCCGCGAGGTCCCGAGGTGATCCGCGTTGGACGCACCTCCGCTGGGCCTCCCAGGAGCTAACGAAAATGGCGACGGTTGCGCATGTCGCAGCCCCCCAGGGCACCGCGAGGTCACGAGGTGATCCGCATTGGACGCTCCTCCGCCGGGCCTCCCAGGAGCCCGCGAAAGCGGCGACAGCTGGGCAGATCGCAGCCCCCAAGTCACCGCGAAGTCCCGAGGTGATCCGCATTGGACGCACCTCCACTGGGCAACCCAGGAGCCGGCGGAAGTGGCGACAGTTGCGCAGATCGCAGCCCCCCAGGGCGCCGCGAGGTCCTGAGGTGATCCGCGCTGGACGCACCTCCGCCGGGCCTCCAGGAGCCCACGAAAGTGGCGACAGTTGCGCAGATCGCAGCCCGACGGCACGAGAGAAGAGGAGAGGAGAACGCAGGAAACAAGAGAGGAGGAGGGGGGAGGGGGGAGGAGAAGGAAAAGGATGCCAGGGCGACCACACTGCTCTATTCAAAACGAATACCCAGCCGTAGAAGGGCTGGGAACATTTCTGCCTCGGAAGCGGGAACGGCGTCCTCGGGCAAAGTGTGAGAAATTCTAGAACATGCACTATATGATTCAACCATCAGCGGATGATCGTTCGAATTATTTTGGAGACCACGAGGCCCCTTTGCCAGTGGGGCAAGGCGCGCGAGAAGGGCTCTGCGGGCTGTGCCAGGGGGCCTATGCCTGCACCACCCCTGTCGGCGAACCCGATTCGGGCGCCGCGATAACTTGTATATGGCGCGAGCAAGCATTATCATGAAAAGGACGATATACGTGAGGAACATGTTGGCGATGGCCCACAATGCGCCAGTGCCCTACCATCGTCGCGGATGGTTTGGTGTGTTCTTCGCAAACCAGCAGTCCTTGCCACGCGAGCAGGCTCCTGTTTCGGTGGACAATGTGCACGGTTTATATATCCTCTTATTTTGCCCTTACTTTCCTGCTTATCACAACCTTTACTCGACTCGCGGTTTCTTGGGGTATCTTCCGGCACCGCATCGCTGGCATTAGCGGCGGCGGGGTCAGCTTGCCGGGTGGTTCTCTGGTGGCCCAAACACATGCCAGCCGTTAGTTGTGCCTCTTCGTATATGTCCCGCTTGCTCATCTCGGCCGTAGTCAAGCCTCTGCGCGGCTTGTAACATCTGCTCTGGGGGCCCTTGCAATTGCGGGGATCGGGCGAGTATGCGTAGCACGCCACCTTACTCCGACGTTCTTGCGAGGTCCCCGATTGACTTCTCGTCCGCGACTGCGTCGCGTTCGAGTTGCCAAACTTATTCGACGGGGTCGAGGAGCAAGATCTGTCCTTACCTTTTGGACCCTGGCTTCCCGATCTCTCGCTCCTACCTCTGCGGTCGTTGTTTCCGCCGGCCGCCCTCTGATCATTGCCCGCTCCCGGCTGGGCCGGTGCGGCAAGTGTCTTAAGCTTCTTATGATTACAGGGGCAACCTTGCCCCGTTTCGGGACAGTTCTTTCCTTGCTTCGCGAATTTGCAATGCGTCTCGTCCTTCGACCGTCCGCTTGCTGTCTTATCTCTAGGGAATCCCAATCTGCGTGTTGTTGCTGCCGCAGCGGAGGCCCGTCGCCCACCGCCGGCGCCATCGCTCATTCTTCCTGCATGGCGAGCCTGCCTACTCCTCGAATTGAGGGTTGATTCATGCTGAGAAAATGCAAACTTTTCTGGGTCGCGCATCATAGGCTACTCAACCTGGTATAGAAGCCATTGATACGAGCTCGCCCCTGCACCTGGAGGGCCCGTCGGCATCTCGTACCATTGCATTGCATAGTCAAGCCTCGGAACCTGTTCTGTTTATAAAAATGCGCATGTTTTAAGGCCTTCATTTCATCCGGCGGTTCCCTGGCGCCATAAATTCTTGGTACCTCTCCATTCCATTCGCTGCAGAAATGATGCACATCCTGGTTGGGCTTCTGTCGGTCAACCGTTGCATTTAAAAAGATCGCCACATATCCAGCGCTGTCCGTTCTCGGACCTGACAGAGCACCAACAACATATAGCGCGAACATCTCTCGGCCCGTAAGATGACGCCCCTCAATCTGGCAAGGGTGCCCCATGCGGTTGACTTGCGGCTGATTGCGGCTGACAGCTTGCAAATGCGCTTCATCTCGGCCAACTGTTCGAATGGATTTGTGGCGATCATCATATCAAGGCGCATCGTCGCTCCGAAGTCTCGAAGGCTCGCTCTCCCTCGGTACCTCGTGCTCCATTGCTTAAATGATCCACGTTTGCGCCGCCTTGACATCATGCCACGACCCGGCTACTGCTCTGATGCAATGTTGCTTCCATTCACGTAGTGTCTGGGCGCTTGGGATGTCTAGTAGCTTTAGCTCTGTAATTGTTTCCAAAGCTTCTCAAATTCGCGCCCGTTTGACTGGTATTGAATGGTTACCATTCGGTCCTCCACCGCCATCTTCGCCTGGGCCAGCTCCGCCCCCAGGTCCCCCAAGAGGGCCCTTGGGTGGCTGCGGGTCGCCCGTCTCGTCAAATTGCACTGCTACAGTCATGCCGGCACTGGGCGCAGTGCTTCGATAATTTCTCCGGTCATCGCCATGTCCGCCCGGTTCTCCGCCTCCTTCACCAGTCGCGGCTGAACAGATGGTGGAAGAAAAGCGACAGGCAGATCGAGGTCGCCAAGAAGCCCTGAACTTTCGGTCGCAAACGGAACGTGCCCAGGGCTCTGTCCCAACATACTCTTGCATGGAACCTTCACTAGTATCGCGAGATCTCTCAACAGCCGGCCCCGGAAGGACAGGCGCTGGCACAGGCGAAGCTGTCAATAATAAAAGCATTCGATCAAAATCTGGTTTCGTCGATTTGAATATCGGCATGCCCATCAGATTGGCGAGGTTGCTTACTCTTCGGTCCGATCTGTCGTCTTTCGGCGCGTCCGAGCGTCTCGGCGCCGTCTCTTTTGGGTCGCCATTGTCGCGGGGAGGGCCGCGCGCGGAGACTGCCGCCCCCCCCCTCTCTCGAGATCGTCTCGTCGCCCGAACTGCACGTTCAAGGCGCACTCCGCGCGCCTTCTAGTAATCGAGCCCAGGGGAACCCTGCGCGCGGGCTCAGAACACCCCGCGCAAATCCAAACGAAATATATCTGAACTAATAGACACAACTGGCCTGCATCGACAGTTCGAGTCTGAGCTTGCTCGTTGCCGCTTCTACGCGCGAGGCGATCGACAACCGGGCTCGGAAGTGGTTCAACGCGCATCGGCTGTGCCTGCGTCGATCCAAGCCTCTCAGTTGAGCCCGCCTCTGCCGTCGACGACGCGGGCGCGCGCTCAGCTTTTGTCGGGGCCCCCGTCGCACGTGGCCCGGTTGTCCGAGCCCATCCCAACGACTCTCTGTCTGTTCGTTGCTGTTCCAGGTCGGATGTGAACCCCCTGCTCTCTTCGCTCACTGCATTGCTGCACGCGCGGCCAAAGCATTGTTTTTGTAATTTCCTGATTGACTGTGCCTGCTGCTCGTGTTCTCGAAGGCCTCGCAGGGCTTCCGCTTTAACCTCTTCGGCCTCGAGTCCAGCAGCTTCGAGTAGATTACAGAGCTCCTTATTTTCACGTGCTGCTTGTTATCGAGCCACTCTTTCTCCTTCCTCTCTGGCAGCGCGAGCCATTTCTCTGCGCTCAGCTCTTTCTCGGCCTGCAGATAAGAAGCTGACGCCATTTGCTCTGCCATAAGTTTAATATATTTCTCGTGCTCCTCTTGCGCAAGACGTCGCTGTGCCGCATCCGAGTCTCCTGCTGCGTTGCCTTATGCTTGCTGCGTCCGTCTCTGCGCATCTTCCGCAATGACAATTCTCTGTTGTTCGACCTTTTTGTGCCATTGCCTGTCTCTCTGCCTCAGATTATGCTAGCATCCGCTTCGCTTCGTCAGTAGCTCGCTTCTCGACTTGCGCCTTGAGGCGAATTTGCTGTTGTGCGCACTCGCAGCTCTCAGTTGACCACGTTCCTGCCTATTCTTCTCTGCCCGTTCCTGGATGGCTATGCAATGGCAATTGTGTTCCTCCAACTCAGCGCGTTCTCCACTGAGCCACGCAATGCTGCACTTGGGACATGCATTCGAACAGCGCGAGCACACTAACCTAGGACACGGCTCCCCCGGTTTGTTTGCTTTTCCAGGACATCGGTTCTCCGCCTGCGGCGGGCACTTCGGTCCAGCGTTCCACCAAGTATCCCTGATCGAAAAGCTGCTGGTGGTCCTGTTTTAACCGAGGTGGCTCGAGGGCATTGAACGCTCTGGAATTGGAGCGCCCGGCCCTGGTGGCCTTCCTGTGTCCCCAGCTGGAGGCGGGAATATACTGTTCCCTTGTTCTTACACCCTTATTCCTGAAATCGGCATCTTGTTTTTTGGGCCAGCTCGTCTCTTTCGTCCTGCACCACCGGCTCATCAAGTTCTGGCACCCTGTCCCTGCTTGACCTCGTCAGTGTGAATGAAGTCTGGCAAAGCGGAAGCAGTTAGGTCATCATCCTCATTTTTAGGTTTCTTTGCCTGTGCAAAAGGAGTCGTTCCCGTAGGCCTTCTTGCACGCCTGACCGTGCCCACGCCTTCGGGCGAGTTCAACATCGGCTGGGCCGACCAACTCTTGCCTTGACCTGGGCTATCTCCGTCTCCAATATCAAAACCCGAATCGAGAATCGTCTGTTGGAGTACATCGACCGTTCCATCGTAAATTGCCTCTTCTCTGACAGGTCTGCGCCTGGGTCGAGCCCGTCGGACCCATCAGTCAAGGGATTGCGGTGACGAGATGGGCCACCGGAATATGGAATTGCGCGCACCCCTCATTCCTCTCAATCGAATGCGAACCGCCCCTTTCAGATGGTAAATCGCTCTCTTTCCCGCCATTACCATAAATCTCAAACCGCGCTGCTTTTCCTGTGCTATAAATTACATTGTTCTTACGTTTCTCTGGGCATTCGTTCCAGCAGTTTCTCCATCGCATGGTCTAAGTCAATCGATGGTTGGGAACTCGGGTGTGCCAGCGCCAGACAAGATGACCCCCCGGCGGGAGTCTCGGCTGCAACATGCCTCCCGCCCGGGCTTTGTTCCCTTACTACTGTCATCGAGTCGACTGGATAGTCCCTTTCTGTTAAATCGAACGCGGTTTTCGACAGAGAACTAGGTCGCAACATACTGGCGCCTGCATCATGAATATGCTCGGGACGATCACGTTCTTCTTTTCTTCCGAGCGATCGATCCTGTGACCCCATGCTTTGCGAAACTCACGGATGCGCCGCCGCTTCGGCTGATAACCAATAGTTTGCCTGAGTTCTCATAATCCCTGCGATATGTTCAGTTTGTATAGCATTGTCAGGGGGGTTCGCCGGTGGCATGGGAGAGAAATGAGAATGCCGTCAAGCATGCTATCGGGTAGCCCTGAAGGGAGGAGGCCCGCCCCTCCAGTCGACGCACGCGCGCGCGCGCCGCAGGCTCGCTCCTTTTCTGTTTCCCTAGAGCCAAACAGCTTCAGGTAAAACATCCAAATAAACAAGAGAAGCAGACAGTGCAGGCAAGGCTAGAGAGCAGGACGGGCAACAGGATGGTGGTGCGGAAAAAATGCATTGACTCTTCCGCGTGCTCGTCGTGTTCGTCGTCGTCGTCGCCGTCGTCGTCGTCGCCGTGGCGCTCGCCGTGCTCGTCGAGCTGGCCAACGTCCTCGCCGCCGCCGTTGGCCCTCGTCCTTCCCTGAAAACAGCTCCCCTGAGAACAACTCCCCTTGAAAGCAATGCAAACATCGTCAAGACAGCTCGACCACAACTCTCGACCACTTGGTTCTGCGGCACTTGCATCGAGACGGGTCGATCTGGCATGGTCCCAGGACAAGACGCTGGGCGAAACCGTCTGCTATCACAGAAAGTGCAACGCCCCGATCTCAAGGTCGTCGCAACCGCCGTGTTCGTGCAAGCCGCTGCCTTTCTTGTTGTCGCTCGTGGTCGCCGCCGCTCGTCATGATTGGTTCAATGTTTCGACACCTCGACGACCCAAGATCTCGACACATTCCCGAGGACCAGCTTTTCATCTTGGTGTTTTGACGGCCCCAGAGCCTGGCGAGGACTCCAAGGTAACAAAATGCCTTTTGTGAAAGCTGCAAAAATCACTCCACGTGCGCACGGCACGGCATTCCGAGAAAACTGTACGGAATAGCTCATCGACGTTCAAACGCTACTGAGGGTTTCGGGCAAAACACACGTCGATTGGCAGAACCCACGGGGGACTGCACAGGGCGCCCGATGTTTCGCGGCGAGAGCATGTCTATGGACACAGAAGGCATACTAGTAATACAAAATGATGTTGGAAGCACACACACCTGGCGCGCACACACGTCTTAGACGATATGGTTTGCCAAGCGGCATGGCCAGGAAGCGCCCGCCACGAAGCGTACTATTGCACAAGATTGTTGAGCGTGCGCGTCGCCATTGCGGGGCAGACGCACACATAGTTTAAAGCGTGCTCGTGTGATGCCGATGTCTGGAATCGTTGTCGTCCTCGTCGTCGCTCGTGCTCGCCGCCGCTCGCCTCTCCTCCGTCCAAAGAGGTCTCGGCACATTCCAAAGACAAACGTTTCACCGAACCTGAGACGTTGTTTGACGGTACCAAGGCCTGATGAAGGCCCCGACAGACCAAGAACTTCCAAAACCATTCCGCCGTGATTTTCTCGACGCGGGCGCGTCTAGGACCATTTTTGAGCCTGGGAATTGTCACCAACACCAGCACAAGGGGGCTGCCTCCAGGGGGAAAATGGCCCTGGATTCTGGTGGTAGAAATAATCTCTCGACCACCTGGAGAGACAGGGTCTCCTCACCAACACCGAGATCTGGATCATCTTCCCTCGGCGGGGGTAACCACCGACGTTGGGCCTCCGACCGCTATCGTCCTCGCGGTCGCTCGTGCTCGCCGCTGCTCGTCCCTCCTCCGTCCAGGGGGCGGGGGGGGCTTGCGCGCAGCCTGGTTCCCCGCCGACGAAGCCGCGAGCAGCGCGGGCGCGTAGGCCTCGCCGAGGAGCCAGAGAGGTCGGTGTTCCTCAGAACGCGTGCTAGCACCAACGCGTGCTAGCACCACGTGCTAGCTCGTCAACCGAAGCCTATCAATACTACGCATGCGGTGTAATAAGGGCCGCCATTGGCTGCGTGCTATCCGTAGTGCTCAACGGGGACAACACACGTTGGGCTGACATACGTCTTTGGGACCATCGGAAATGGGACAGGGCTTCTCAGAGATGCGTATTCTGTATCGAGGGGCGTCGTAAACCCCAAATCTCCGACGATACTGGACCGCGGCAATTTTTCCTCGATGTCGTCCTCCCGGAACCGTCATAAGGCCCCCCGGCAATCAAAAGCGGATCCGGAGCGAAAAACGGACACGGGGGAAATCGGCACCCCTGGGGCAGCGCAGGGGACAAATCGTATAGGCGGATGCCAGGGACCCCGGGCCTCCTTGCGAGGCAGCAGAAATCACGACGCACGGTTTGATGCCGTTTCGGCGTCTGGGGGCCCTCACGGGGCCCCAGGACCGTCCGAAAACTGCCAGGGTGGAAGACTGGCCCGAGGGAAGACGTCGAGCCCACACAGTCAAAAATCACGACGTCGGAGGTCACGGAGAGCCTGGCAAGTCCTTTACTGGGTCCATGGTCGGTGCACACGCATTTCCTGGCGTCGCTAGGGAAGCGTCGACATCGACCCTGGGCCTAGGATCGGCAGGACCGGCTCGGCTAGAAATCGGCGAGGTGGTCGGTCGACGTCCCCTGGCTAACATACGAATCCGCCAGTGTCCCCGATCTCCGCCAACAAGCAAACGACATGCAAGTCAAAGGTGTTTGACGGAATCGCTTCAAATCCCACCATCCCTTTCGGGCGTCAATGGTCTAGGATGTTTCCTCTTCCACCCCGCCTTCTTCCCCTTTGGGGAGGAAATTATCACTGCTCCGTATTGATAATCACCCCCTGCCCCACCCGGCCGGCAGCAAACCGAGAACCATGCGCACACCACAAGGGCACCCCCCCACACCACTCCTATCAAAAACCAATACAAAACACTCTGCCTCCACATCGGAGCATCTGGGCGTTCTTGGGTTCGGTCGCGTGGATGTTCCAGGAAGCCACAGGACCCCAAGACGAGCCAATATGGCCCCAATGAAGCGCCCAAGAGGGCCCAAAATGCCTCCAAGACGGCCCAAGAGCGCTCCAAGATGCCCAAGATGGCCCACAGACGGCCCAAGAGGCCTGCAAGAGGCTCCTAGAGCGTTCCAAGAGGCCTGTCAAGAGGGTTTCAAAAAGCCTTCCAAGCAGCGCGCCAATCCCTTTGTCTTCCGCCATCCTGGCGAGGCCGGCGCGAGGGGCAAGCGCTGCGCGACGGGCGCCGAAAGCACCCCGCTGTCGGGCGCGCCCACCTCTCCTGTTGCACTCGAGCCAGAGCGGGCGGGACTACGATTTTCCCGTTGGGACCTTTGCACGGGTTGTTTACAGAGCCTGTTCGGAGCTTCAAATATTTGGTCCTTTGGTCCGGTGTTACTTATGTGTTGGGAGGGCGGGTGGGAGTGAGCTACACGGCTTGCTCCTTGTATGTGTCTTGACCCTTCCCCTACCCCCTCCCCTGGACCTGGACCGGGGGTTCCGCGTGTTTTTGGAGCGCCCAAAACGGCCTCGGCGAGGAAGCCAAAATCACTGGTTTTACAAAGGTGGTACCCCCATATTGGCCTCCTGGAGGGGGGACCCCAATTAAGGTACCCCCTTTCTTTGATCGATCTGCTCCGACATGGTCCCAAGAGCGCTCCCAAGGCCCCCAAGGGTGCCCCAAGAGGGCCCCAAGAGGTGGCCAGGAGGCCCCAACATGCCCCAAAAGGCCCCCAAGAGGCCCCCAAGAAACTCCCGAGATACCCCCAAGAGGCCCCCAGAGGCCCCTCAGATGCACCCAAGACGCTCCAAAAGGCGAGAATGCTAAAATCACTGATTTTACAAAATGTGTTGGCCACATTTTGGTATCCTGGGAGGGGGACTGGTTCCGATGACTCCAAGCGCTTGGGAGAGCTCAAGATGACCTCCAAGAGGGCTCAAGATATCCCAAGATGCCTCAAGATGGCCCCCACGATGCTCCAAGAGGCCCCAAGACCGCTCCAAGACGGCGCCAAGTGGCCAGCGAGCCCCCACAGGAGGCCCCGAAAAACCCAAATCCTTCCAACACCTTCGGGCAATCAGTGTTGTTGGCTTTCTCGCCTGTTCGCTTCCGATGGCCATCCGAGGCCTTCAAATGGGTCCAAGATGGCCCAAAAGGGTTCCGACAGAGGCTCAAGAGTGCCTCAAGGCGCCCCAAGAGCGCCCAAGAGTGATCCAAGAGCGCCCCAAGAGGCGAATGGGAGCGCGTAGTAAAGATCTGGCCACACTGCGAATGGCATGTTGGCTGCATGTATTCTCTTTGTTCACGCACAGACTGGCGCAAAGCTTACCTGACCTGAAGGGCAACGCTGCTGAATGTTCCCCTCCTGTTTTATTGATGTCCTCGAAGATGGCCCCAAGAGCGCTCTCAAGGCTCCCAACAGCGCGTCAAGAGGGCCCCAAAAAGGCAGGCGCCCAGGAGGCCACAACAGGCGCCCAAGAGGCCTCAAAGAAGCTCCCACGAGACCCCCAAGAGGCCCCAAGAACCTTTTCCGAAGCACCCAAGACGCTCTAAAAAGCGTCCGGGACGGCCCAAAGGCCCCCAAGACGCTCCAAGAGGCCTCCACTGGGGGGCCCTTCCTTTGTGTGCTGCCCACTTCCCTGATCGAGGCAATTCCTCTGGGCATCGTTTCTGAATGGGCTCGTGTTTTTTTGTTGATGCGACCGCGAGCGGGCACCCGCGCGGCGTCGGAAAGGTCGTGCAACGAGGTGAGGCCGGTGGACACAGCGCAACTGTCGCCGGCCAGACGCGGGATAAAAGTGCAAGACCACTACGCAGAGGCAACGCGAGAGCGGCGAAAACGAGGCGAAGCAGGAGAGACCGATACGAGAGAAAAAACAAACGAAAGGAACGACGGCAAGAGGAGAACCGAGGGAGCGGGAGCTGGTGGGGTTACTTTTTAGTCAGCGGCCGCGGGCGAGCTCGCCGGCGGCGAATCAGGTCCAAGCGGGCTACGCAGAGACAAATTAGGCAGAGGCAACGCGCAAAGCAACAGCTACGCGCTGGCCGAGGCGTCACGCAGCGGCCCAACGGCAGGTGCATGGCTGGAGGGACTGATACTGAATGGAACTGCCAGCGTGCATAGATGCAAGTCCGTCGGAGGCCCAAAAGTCGGAATGAAAACGACGACCAGGGACAACTCCGACAGAGAATGCATGATACCGTACCTCAAACGACTGCGTGGGCACCAGAGGTGGCCGTGGCCAACGAACCGCCCGTCGAGGCAGGAATGAGAAATGCAAAGGCGAAGCCCCGGACGTCGGCGTGAGCGCGAGAACCACTGGTGAGGTTACTGTTTAGTCAGCGGCCGCGGGCGAGCGCGCCGGCGGCGAGTCAGGTCAAAGCGGGCTACGCAGAGACAAATTAGGCAGAGGAAGCGCGAGAACATGAAAGCAAAGGCAACGAGCGAGGCAACAGCTACGCGCCGGCCGAGGCCTCACGCAGCGGCCCAACGGCAGGTGGGTGGCTGAAGGGGCTGAAACTGAGGGGAACTGCCAGCGTGCATAACTGCAAGTCCATCGGAGGCCCAAAGGTCAGAAAGTCAACGACGGCCAGGGGCAGCTCCGAGAGAGAAAGCACGATACCGTACCTCAGACGACTGCGTGGGTACCAGGGTGGCCCTGGTGGGGTTAGGCGAAGCGTCTAGAATTCGATCGGAGTTAGAAGAACCTGCCAGACCGAGAGACATGACAACACCTACAAAGTCTGGCGATTTGGGTTTTCTGGGGCCCCTAGTGGGCCTCATGAACCCTCTCGAAGCAGCCTGTGGTATCCTGGGGCCGACCTGGAGATTATCTCGGTGCGGCCTGCATGGGCAATCCTTGGCCGTCTTGGCGACCTCTGGGTGTCCCCGTGCAACATATTTGAAGCCTCTCGAGCCCAGACAGCCAAATAAGGCCCCAAAACATTTACGAGAGAGCGCGCCCACAGGGCCCGAGCGGAGGGGGGGGGCTAGGCTTAGGCCCCCCCCCCCCCCCCCTCCCTTGAGCCGCCCTCGCTGGAAACACCGCCCCCCTCCCCCCTGTTTTGCAGGGGGGAGCTTACAGCTACCCCCCCCCCTCCCCCCTTGGGCCCTCCCCAGGAAGTACCCCCCCCTCCCCCCCTTTCCAAAGGGGGGGTGGTCTTAAGCTACCCCCCCTCCCCTTGGCGCTGCCCGCAGGAGCTACCCCCCCCCCCCCCCCCTTCGCGCAAAGGGGGGGGGGGCTTGGAAGCTACACCCCCCCCTTTGCGCTCCCCGCGGAGCTTACCCCCCCCCCCCCTCCCCCCACCACCTACTCCCCCTTTCCAAAAGGGGGGGATGGGGGGGGTCGGCTTAAGCTACCCCCCCCCCCCCCCCTTCCTTGGAGCCGCCCTGCCGGAAGCAAACCCCCCCTCCCCTCTTCCCCCCCCCCCCCCTCCCCCCCTTTCGTGCAAAGGAGGGGGGGTGCTTGGAAGCTACCCACCCCCCCACCCCCCTTTGGCCGCCCCGGAAGCTACCCCCCTCCCCCCCTTTTTTCCAGGGGGGGGGGGGGGGGGAGCAGCCTGCTGGAGCCCCCCCCTCCCCCCCTGTGCCAAAAGGGGGGGACCTTGGAAGCCCCCCCCCTTCCCCCCTTTGGCCGCCCAGCCCCCGGAGCCTCCGCCCTCCCTTTCGCCGACGATCCAAAATGAACAATCCACGATCGAGGATGGACGATCGACGATCAACGATCGACGATCGAAAATCCCAATCGAATCGCTTCAATCGATTGCACTCCATTCCACTGCAATCCCCCTCCCCACATCCCTCCGCTCCCTCCCCTTCCCTCCCCGCCCTTCGTTCCATATCCTCCCTCCCCTCCCTCTCCTCCCCCCCCTCCCTTCCG